CATGAATGACATTAATGATCTCGTTACGTTTTTGTGCGCAACCGCATCTGCGCACCTTTCACTTTTAGCCATGGCAACGGATAAAAAACATTAAGTTGTCACAAATGTCAATAAAATAAATAAACTTAAAATAGATAAAATCGGAGCAAAATCAATGAAAACAAATAAATAAGAGAATATAGAGAAATGCCGGTAAGTGACCAGCACTCTGGAATAGTGATTTTCAGTACAGATGGAATTATAATACATATTTACAAAATGATGACTAGTGTGTGATATTTTTGAAATTGTGTGTTTCCAGAAATACATAATAAAATATATGATGAATATTGCTGATGTTTGATGATAAAATGTGTGACATGGAACCTATGATAGTCGAAACCATGGGACGATTCCTGAGGTATCTCTACTTGTAACCGACTTCTTCGGACTTGATTTTGTTTTGTGTCTGTTCAAAGACAATCGTTTTTAGAGTGTAAACTCCGGTCGTGCGTCGGAGCTGAAACACACAATTTTTTTTTTTGTAGGAAGACCTTTGAAATATTAACAGAATAAGCAAGTAAGGATATCTAGTGAGACTATAAAAATACAGTTAAAAACACACGTGTTTTTTCGTTTTCTTTTCGTTTGGTGCAATCTATATATTTGAATTTATTATTTTATTTTATAGTCATATTTTTTATATTATTTGCATTTGTAATGGAAAGTGACTTAATGAGTTACCTCATATTCAAGTCATTCTTCAATTTGACGACTCTGTATATAATACAGGGAGAAAAAAACAGCCCTTGCTGAGTTTCTTGCCGGTCCTTCTCAGTACAAAGTCTCCCGCCGTAGATTTGCGTACCGATGGCGTAGCTTTTCGACATTCACAAGTGCTTGTAACAGCCTAGACTGAATAAACGATATTGAATTTTGAATATTTTTGAATTTTGAAAAAAAAATATATTTAGTGATGATGATGCACTTAGCCTAATTTTTAAAAAAGTCAAATTCAAAATATCTTTATTTAAATTGGATGCTCCACACAACTCTTTTGAATCGTATAATTTTGTTTCCCTACCACCATTTAAGGACATTTTTTAACTGTGGAGAAAAACTGGCAAATAAAAATTTAATAAAGCCATCTTATATTTAAACTTACCTGCATTATCAATTTTCTAATCCAAATTGTTAAAACCGCAGCTGACTCTTGCTTAATTGTTTACCCCTTTTTCATAAAAAGCTTTGTAATTTACTGCGCCCCTGTTAAGTATAAGTGGGGCTCAGATGTGGCACGTCCTAAGATATGTACGTGCCACAACAGCCTGGCCCACAGAGTAAATACTTTTTTATTCGCTTTAACAATATAAAACGATAGGAAACTACTAATGACCAGTAAGTAAGTACTTCCTTTGCCTTTTAATCTCCCCACTGCTGGGGCACAGGCCTACCCTATGGATGGATAATAAATTAATAGGCTTAATAGGCTGATGATGATGATGAAGTACTTCCTTTGAGGTAAAATAGCATGTGTCAAAACTCAGGAGATGCTTTGTTATGTGTAATAAGATAATTTAACATTGTATGAAAGTCCCCTACCCTATTCGGAGGTGCTCGATGGCGCAAGTGGTTAGCGCGTTCGGCTGCGATCGTTGAAGTTAAGTAACTTTCGCATTGGTCGGTCATTGGATGGGTGACCAAAAATTTACTATCTCGAGCTCCTCCGTGCTTCGGAAGGCACGTTAAGCCGTTGGTCCCGGCTGCAGCTACAGTCGTTAGCACCCGCCAATCCGCACTGGGCCCGCGTGGTGGGTCATGGCCCAATCTCCCTATTCCATCCATAGGGTTAGGCCTGTGTCCCAGCAGTGGGAACATTAATAGGCTGATAATGATAATGATGATGATGTATGAAATTCAGTGCCTAAGAGTGGTTTCAGAAAGAAGTTAGAATGTCCTTGTGGGCGGGGCAGGCGCGCCACAGTTATGTGTGAGCAAATGCTCATAACTTGACCAAAGCCTGATTCTGATTGCGTCTTTGCTCCCGGGTGTGAGCGCTGATTGGTTCGATTGTTTGATGTCGCGTCGTTTGATTCGCTATTATCTATTAGGTGGAAGTGTAGCGGGATCGAGCCAGTGACATCGGTACCCGTACAAACGGATGATAACCGTTCAAACCTCTTTCTATGTTCGATGGCTTCAACATGCAATCTATCTATCTATATAAAACTCAAAGGTGACTGACTGACATAGTGATCTATCAACGCACAGCCCAAACCACTGGACGGATCGGGCTGACATTTGGCATGCAGGTAGATGCTTATGACGTAGGCATCCGCTAAGAAAGGATTTTGATCAATTCTACCCCCAAGGGGATAAAATAGGGAATGAAAGTTTGTATGAAACTTTGTCAATTTTATACCGATCGGGCTGAGACTTTGCTGAGGTATAAGAAGAATCATAGATGAATGTCATTGTGTATAAAACAAGCCTGAGAACAAAAACTGTAGTCTACACTTCAGCTCTACACTATAGCGAAGCGAGGGCGGGCCGCTAGTACGTTATAAAATAATAGGAAACTTTTAATGATCAGTACCCTTAGCACGAACCAATATCGAATTCGAATCGTTTGCGAGTCCGAAATGTCATTGTCAAATGTGTGCTGATTGTTAATTCTCGTTACGTACTTTGTGCCGCTGCTGTTCAAGTTTCCATACAAAATTTGACATTGACATTTCGGTTTGCAAACTATTCGAATTCTATAATGGTTCGTGCTATGGGTACAGTACTTCGTTAAAGGTATAATAGATACGATTTTTATGTATAATAAATAGATAATTTAATATTGTATGAAATTCATTACTTAAGTGTGATTTCAGACTAGCGTTTTATACAATCGTTATTTTAAGTTCACGTAGACGCGTACAGGTACACCTTTTGCCACGCGCGTTTTAAAAAAAACGCTAATACAAAACCGATTTAACATTCTTTTTTCAAATTATATGCATATTTCTGATATATAACTTATATATTTCATTTGGAAGCAGTGTCACTTTAACCCCGACTTATACGACTACTCGCAGAGACGCTGTGCATGTTCTAAGACTTATATTTTGTGACACATGTGCAACGTCCATAGAAGGCTCGCCCTACCTTTTTTAATCTCTTCCGTGCCTAAAACAACCAGGTTCAACAGGTAATTGCAAATCGACATCACCATCTTTATCAATTACATTTCTTTATTCATCATTAGTCAATCGTACGACGTCCCTATTGCTGAGTATAGGTCTCTTTTAAGCAACACCACCACACCAGTCAATCTTGAGGTTTCCGTGAACTTTCCGTAACTTTTACTCGATCATCAGTCTCCCTGTGGTCAATTGCAATTAAATCTTCATAAATAAAACTAGTTTTAACGGCTTAATGCACGAACTTTATTTATTTATTGACATTTCGCAGCCTTTTCAGGTCTGTATCGTCAGAATAATGATTTTTTATTTACTTTGTCGAGCTACCTTCAAAAGACTTTTGAATTGAGCGTTCGGATATTTCATTGGAAGATTTTTAAAATTTTATTGTTTATGTATGAATTTATTAATTAATTTAGTTAATAAAGTACTTTATTTAAAATTCTTTTACGTAATTTTGAGTTTATTTATTTGACCCTAACTACCGTAAACTACCACCAGTTCCAAAATCAGAAATCAGAAAGGTCCCCCAACCTTTCTGAGAAGAACCGGCGAAACAAACTCAGAGAAGCTTTCTAAATCTTCATAACTTAAAAACTTTTTTGATACCTGAAATCAACGCCTTTCATATTTACCAAATAGGTATAAACGAGCATCTTTATTGAATGTCAAATAATGATAATATACTCGCACGCACTATTTGACCTGTAAAAAGTAGCCATTTGTTTCAGAATTGGTGCGTATGATCGCGATCGCCCAACACTCCGAATATACATTAGATCGCGGCCTAATTATTGACAGGGAATGGGGAGCTCAACTGCATAGACGACGGGCTGCATAACACAATATGTTATCTAGTTGATCATGATGTAAATGACATCCTTCTTGGAATATATTAATAATACAGCAAAAAGGATCATAACATAAACAAGCATGTGCAGTTTGGTTTACCAGCAAGCTCCTTGCGATATATATATATAAGATATATTTCGGCACTCTTGCAAACGCCATGATCACGGAGTAACTGAACTAATCGGTAATATGGGGGACTCACAAAAAACGGGGTACATCATGCAATCCCGCTTTTAACTATTATGTTAGTAAGAATAAAAGTTTAAAACAGTATACTGGTACAACTTTCTAATATTATCATGAACGGTGATAACGGCGATATTAAGTACCTTTATTTTTTAAAATTAACTTAACAATAAAAATCATTATTCCGCTTTTTAAAAACGACACACAGAATTTATTAAAAACACTTTAAAAAAATGCTTTAACATTGTATGATTTGATATTATTTTTTCTAGGTAAATAGCTGTTGATTCAATTCCAGCCTAAACCCTGGACCAAGTTTTAATTACTTCTAGTATTTATAATTTTTATTTTTTAAAACATGTAACTGCTTGATGTTTAAATGTAAAGAAAATATAACTAGAAAAGTATCCACGCGGACCAGGCAGCAGACGGGACTCGTTACTTGCTTTAAAAAATAAAACCTATAATGCGAAGAGATAGCGCCGCCTTGCAGCTTAAGAATGGCTAGAGGAATTTCGACGCTCCGTGAGGGCCGCGGTAGCATAATTGGTCAGTGCATTCACCCGGATTGCGAAGAGTCCGGGTTCGAGTCCCGTCTGCTGCCTGGTCCGCGTGGATTTTTTTCTAGTTATATTTTCTTTATTTCTAGTATTTGTTTAGATAAAGACATTTCGGGTATGACAATATCTCAGTTAATAGCTCCACTTTAAAGGACCCAACGCATCTAAAGCTTGGTGTCCTCTGGCGGCTAGAGATGGCGCCGAAACAGTGTCAGCGTTTGCGCATATTTAACTAGCCACCGTCTCCGCAGGCTGCGCATTTGCGAGCGCGGGCGGGCCGCGCAAACCCCAACACCTTCTACGTAATGGGTACGTACATTAAGATACTATTTTTTTTGTCGACTCGTTTATTTTAAAACAAAGTTAATGTTAGTGCTATTTAAATAAAACGAACTTCTTATGGTGTCAGTATATGATAGTTAAATGTAGTATTATAATCAAAGCAAACTACTTATAGTACAGTGTCAGATTATGATCAGAAAGTTCAGTTTTTGTTTTTAAATTAGCCGCTAAGGATCAATTCGCCAATTTAAAGTCATTTAAAGTTTGGTTTTAATACCTAGTTATAATTATGTTTTGATTGCTAGAGAATCACAATAACACTTTAAATTACAAACATCTATTTTTTTTTTTTGTTTTATGAATACTGCTAGGTTTGTAAATCTATTAACAATTTAAAATTTATCATACGTACATGCTCACCGTTTTTAATTGATTAATTGCTTATAACAGTAAAAATAAGTATAAATATCTAAAATACTCCACATTATACGTAATAGCAGTTGATATAAAAATCACTATAAAAATTAAAACTTTTCTTTGTTATATATTTTGGAATTTAAATCAATGCCGCGCGTAACGCGCTTACCAACATATAATATAAAACTATACACTATTCAAACTTACGAAATAACATAAATTTTACAAAAAACAATATCTACAAATGCGTTTTAAAATTAGTCCTAAGTAGATCTTGCTACGAATTTTCGTAGCAAAAGCATTTTTTTGCTACGACCTTCTTATCATAATGGTACTTTAAGTTATTTTTAGAATAGTAGACATAATTTCCTTTGTGAGGGGCACAAAAATGTCCACAGTTTTTTATGACTAAAAAGATATTTATTGAAATGGAAGAAACATTTTGTTTCTTCAATTTCATGTTTCAACAAAAGAGAGTGTCTTTTGATCGAAGTTCTTTTGTTTGAGATCCATCATTCTATTTCAGTTATATTACACAGGAACTGATATATTTATTAATATTCTTTTTTTAAAGCATTTTAGATGTTTCAATCTAAAGAAATTTTTACTAGAAACAATTCCACGCAGACCAGGCAGCAGACTGGACTCGATCCTGCTTTCCGGGCGGGTGCACTGACCATTATGCTACCGCGGCCCTAATGGTCGTGTCTAATTTTTTCTAGTATTTCATAGGCTGCAAGGCAGCCTTTGTAGGTAACCCACAATGTCAAATGAATACTTTTATAAGCCGCGGTAGCATAATTGGTCAGTGCATTCGCTCGGATAGCGAAGGGTGCGAATTCGAGCCCCGTCTGCTGCCTGGTCCGCGTGGTATTTTTTCTAGTTATAGTTTATTTAGATTTATTTTAAACACCAAGCAGTTACATGCTTAAAAAATAAAAATTATAATCCAGACAGTTGTCTAGATTTTTAATAAGAAGAAGACGGACCTACCATTATGTAAGCTTAAATTCAGTTTTAATTTTCAACTCAGTTTCCACGTGAAAGTTTAAATATAAAATATTTAGTGGGTTTACTGCAGCGTGCATTAAATTAGTGAAGTTCTCGTGGCCGCAGCCGGTATTTTTAAGAAGAAAGTTCATGCACTTGTTCTGGAATGCTTTCCGCGCTAGCGTTAAACTTATTTCATTAGTCCTTTTCAGTCTCATCATCGATATATTTTATATATAGGTATGTATGTATATATATATGTATGACTTGTGTGTATGTATATTTAATTGTTATTAATATACATTTAGGAAAGTACTTTCTGTTATGGTATATTTAAATTAACTAAGTGTTTTATTTACTAAAGCAACTTTCGTGGATTTCTGTTTCCTAAAGGTTGAATGGCAGAGAATGTTTTGAGCGCTAAGTCCGTCTTTTGTCCATTTTTGTAATAGTGGCAATAAAGTTTAAATAAATAAATAAAAATAAATAAGCTGGTCGAAATGGGACAAGAAAGGTACGAAGACCTGCACTTACGTGCGCGTGTAATGTTGAATATTTAATACTTACTACAGTACCCCTAGCACTAACCATTATCAAATTCGAATAGTTTGCAAACCGAAATGTCAATGTCAAATTTTGTATGGAAACTTGAACAGCAGCGGCACAAAGTACGTAACGAGAACTAAAAATCAGTACACATTTGACAATGACATTTCGGACTTGCAAACGATACGAATTCGATATTGGTTCGTGCTAAGGGCTTGAAAACGGTAAATAATACAAAAAAAATGTTTATACAAAAGTTGTTGATAATTATGTACCGAACAACTTTTCCATTTAAAGTTTTTCATTCAAATGATATTGTTACGTGTCGGGATGGGGTTCGAAATTATATGCCAGTTCACGCTTGACAGTTCTTTATTCACCACACAGTTCACACAATTAACACACAATGTTAATTACAAAACACTCACCAAATACTGTATTTCACTATACAAGTCTCTAAACAACCACTTAACACTTTTGTTGCACTTTGATCGCCTTTGGATTCGCTCTGAAATCGCTGTTGAAATTCAACTGTCCTTGCGCGGTGCCAATCGCGCTTATATACGCCGATCGACGCATTCTTGAAAGTACCTGTTAAATTGAGAATTACCTAGCACCCGCGAGTACGAAATACCTACTTATACCTACGCAGGTAACACGCATAACTTGTAAACAAGTGCAGATGTCGTTGCACTTTCTCCCTTACGCCGCACTGCATAAAGCTCATTTTAGAATGAGCCGCATTACTCGACCTCTATCGCGACCCGCGGTGATCTGGCAAATTTGATCTCTGGCACTTTCGCGGTTACGTTTCGAGAGCGTTTGTGACAATATTTTCAGGGTGAAAAAGTGAAAAACCATTTTTTTTGAGAGTGTAGCGCCATCTACAATGCGCTTTTTTGTTGTACGAGATTGCAACAATGACATAAATTGTAGTACTCAACGCCCTCTACCATTATGGTCGAAAAAAAAGTTTCTAAAATTCATACAAAACAAGAAAAATGCGTCAAAAATTTTTTGAGGGTTTTTTTAGGTTTTTCAAAAAACGCCTACGAGTTGAACATGCCCATCGCCAAGGTGGCTTACTGACGTCATTTGGCAACAGAAAAAACAAGACTTACCCTTTAGGTTTTTTTTTTCACTGAAACGATTTTTTTTTTCGATAGATTGACTGTACTATTAATTCAATATCAAAATACGGGAAAACTCACGGAGGTTAGATTTTTTTTTTTTGATAATTAATGAGATGGAAAATCACGATCCTAATACATTATGTAACACAAACAAACAACATATTTCTGATGTCGTAGTAGTTATTGGGATGTAATTTATTGAACATTATTTAGAGATTCAGGCGTTTGAAGTTGTGCATATTATCGTTTTTTCCGTAAACTAGCTGCAGTAGAACGATCAGTACAAAAAAAGGAAAATAGTATTTGCAAAAATTTTACATTAACTTACAATAGGGAGAATAAATCTACTGTTTACTTCTATTAGAAATAGTCAAAATCTTTTCTAAGGGGGTAAACGAGGCGCCCAAAAATTACAATTTTTTGCAAAAAAATGTGAAAGGGCTCTTAAAAGTAATAATTCTTTAATTATGGTCTTAGATTAGAAAGCTCAGGTAGAATCTAAGAAGAAGAACCTCGCGGTACAATCTTATTTTAAGTAAATATTACTAGAAAAAAATCCACCCAGCCAGGCAGCAGACGGGACTCGAACCCGCACCCTTCGCTATTCGGGCGAATACAATCCAATATCGCAATAACATATACAATATTATCGAATGATAATAATGCGCTTTTGGGCGAGAGCCTTAATATTACATTATTGCAAATAAACTAACGTGAAGGTGACTTGTAGTATCGTCTATTAAATATTCATTGTGTATGTATGATGGTTAGGGGTTTATGTAATGTTTTTTTCCTTTATAAATTTATTTACTAATTTTAATTTAATTAATTTAGAATGGTTATTCAAATTCAAAATTCAATAAAAAAATCCGCACGAACATCATACCACGTTTTTTAACACATTTACGAAAAAACAATACCTGTACCTAATTTATGTAATGAAGAAAAGTAAACTTTTTTTAATAAGAAAATGGCGCGCATTACCAAATGGTTCTAGAAATTAGAACTATTTAGTATTAAAGTGAGACAAAGGTATATAGATTAAAAGCGCTTTCAAGGTGTTACGACCGAAATAACAAAAAACCGTAAAGGATACGCCATGCATGGGAGCGTGCGGTAAAACGTTTTACTGAACGCTCCGTTGTAAGGCCCGTAATTTTGAACTTTCGAACCATATATATATACAACCTGCGTAAATGCATTTTTTGAGCAAATGTGTTGACAAAGTGTTTTATATAGCTTTTAGATTGTTACTCCTTTAAGTTTGTCACAAAACGGTACTATTATGTATTATGTCCTATGCCTATCCTATACCCACGTGACGAAGCTTCTGGAGGCTTTGGTACTAAAATATGCTAAAATTAAAATTTGAACTTTGAATTAAGTACGCTCCTTCAAATGCGTATATAAATTTATCATTTCCGACAACATCTTTTAGCGTGTCAAATTGTTGCCAGTCAAGCTACCTATCATCTAGCGTCTCCCGATAATTCATTACGACAGAACTATCGCTAATTTTAGCGCATTTAGTACTAAAGCAACCCGAAGCTTCTTAGTGCAGTGGTGGGAGAAGCGCAGACGACTAAAAATAAGTATGCAACGGCTTGTTGCCACTTGACAACACTAATTAACGATCAACCAGTGTCATTCGCTATTACCTAAATCTAAATAACAAACTGGGCATTGGCCCCGTATTCGTAAACAGATTGCGTTCATTCACTGAATTGGTTGCTGAAATAATTATTAGCCCAGTCAATTGATACTGTCATCCCGCTGTACTCAGACAAATGTGTGGAGGTTAGTGGGCCGTAGAAGCTAGGTAGACTGCTCGTCTTACGATCGCACTGACTGATGAGATGACAGACTTCTGTTCGTCGGCGCGACACAATCATAATTTAGACAATATTTCAATGCTGTTTTATCCGACTTACCATCATCATC